ATCTATCTATCTATCTATCTATCTATCTATCTATCTATCTATCTATCTCTTTCTTCTTTATCAATAATTTCTTTCTTTCTTTCTTTCTTTCTTTCTTTCTTTCTTTCTTTCTTTCTTTCTTTCTTTCTTGTTGTTATGGTCCGGTGATAGTCCAAGCTAGAACCAATAAAGAAGAATCCCGTTCGCTTCCGGAGGACTGATATTACGTAAGTGTTTAGTCCTCCTATATGGCAGTGAATGCTGGACAATATCCTCACAGATGAAGAAGAGACTTGAAGTAACGGAAACAAAGAAAAGAGTACTGAACTGTTACGTAATATCAGTCCTCCTATATGGCAGTGAATGGTGGACAATCTCCTCACAGATGAAGAAGAGACTTGAAGCAACAGAAACAAAGAAAAGAGTACTGAAGTGTTACGTAATATCAGTCCTCCTATATGGCAGTGAATGCTGGACAATCTCCTCACAGATGAAGAAGAGACTTGAAGCAACAGAAACAAAGAAAAGAGTACTGAAGTGTTACGTAATATCAGTCCTCCTATATGGCAGTGAATACTGGACAATCTCCTCACAGATGAAGAAGAGACTTGAAGCAACAGAAACAAAGAAAAGAGTACTGAATTGTTACGTAATATCAGTCCTTTTATCTGGCTGTGAATACTGGACAATCTCCTCACAGATGAAGAAGAGACTTGAAGCAACAGAAACAAAGAAAAGAGTACTGAATTGTTACGTAATATCAGTCCTTTTATCTGGCTGTGAATACTGGACAATCTCCTCACAGATGAAGAAGAGACTTGAAGCAACAGAAACAAAGAAAAGAGTACTGAATTGTTACGTAATATCAGTCCTTTTATCTGGCTGTGAATACTGGACAATCTCCTCACAGATGAAGAAGAGACTTGAAGCAACAGAAACAAAGAAAAGAGTACTGAATTGTTACGTAATATCAGTCCTTTTATCTGGCTGTGAATACTGGACAATCTCCTCACAGATGAAGAAGAGACTTGAAGCAACAGAAACAAAGAAAAAGAGTACTGAATTGTTACGTAATATCAGTCCTTTATCTGGCTGTGAATACTGGACAATCTCCTCACAGATGAAGAAGAGACTTGAAGCAACAGAAACAAAGAAAAGAGTACTGAATTGTTACGTAATATCAGTCCTTTTATCTGGCTGTGAATACTGGACAATCTCCTCACAGATGAAGAAGAGACTTGAAGCAACAGAAACAAAGAAAAGAGTACTGAATTGTTACGTAATATCAGTCCTCCTATATGGCAGTGAATGCTGGACAATCTCCTCACAGATGAAGAAGAGACTTGAAGCAACAGAAACAAAGAAAAGTGTACAGAACTGTTACGTAATATCAGTCCTCCTATATGGCAGTGAATGCTGGACAATCTCCTCACAGATAAAGAAGAGACTTGAAGCAACAGAAACAAAGAAAAGAGTACTGAACTGTTACGTAATATCAGTCCTCCTATATGGCAGTGAATGCTGGACAATCTCCTCACAGATGAAGAAGAGACTTGAAGCAACAGAAACAAAGAAAAGAGTACTGAGCTGTTACGTAATATCAGTCCTCCTATATGGCAGTGAATGGTGGACAATCTCCTTACAGATGAAGAAGAGACTTGAAGCAACAGAAACAAAGAAAAGAGTACTGAACTGTTACGTAATATCAGTCCTACTATATGGCAATCTCCTCACAGTGAAGAAGAGATTTGAAGCAACAGAAATGAAGAAACTATTACTATTATTACTGGTTTTATTCCATCTTATTATTATTGCTTTTTATTCAAACACTCTGAGTCAATTCACTTTTCGTTACTACTATGATTTCATTGCAGTTTTCTTTCATCGTGTGAAGTTACTCAAGCATTGTAATGTTACTACTGTTACCGGTATTCAGTCTTTCATTTTTTCTATTGCCCTCTCTTTCGGTTTAATCTCTCATTTCTCCACTTGTTTGCCTAATAAATCTGTTGAACTTCCTTTATTTGATTTGTTCCTAACCCCCTCTCGTTGCTATTGTTGAGCATCACAACATTGCCATCTTGGCAGTTTGGATGACAGTGTAGTACCTGTTGATTTTTTATTGGTATCATCTATTAGAAAAAAACCCTTTCTTTCTCTTACCAGTGTGCTGATTAGGATTCATTTTTTGACCTTATTCATGACGCCCTATAGAATGATACTCTTATTCGTTTTGTACCACAGAGAATTCTTCTTGGTTTAACAACTGCATTGGTGCATTTGTAACTTGTCGCAAATGTCAGGTGAAACCAGAATCTTCTACTTGGTTCCTATCAGCCGTTAATAACTTTTTCTGCGTGATGTTTCTGATCATAACAGATGTCTATTTGTGACTGTTTCAAATAATTGTAAATGTGTTCTCAAAGAGCCTATTTCTTTGCGTTTGCTGACAGAATGAGGCATCGTATAGCTTCCTACAAGTTTGGTTCACTTGAATACTGGCAGCTGCGTAATAGTGTGTTAAGTAAGCATAATTTTTCTATCCCTCTAGTTTTTACTCACTTTTTTTATGTGTACACATCTGCCGATAAAGAAGAATGTTTTGCTCGTAAATTATCTATCTATCTATCTATCTATCTATCTATCTATCTATCTATCTCAGCCTATTCGCATCTATCTATCTATCTATCTATCTATCTAAGCCTATTCATATCTATCTATCTATCTATCTATCTATCTATCTAAGCCTATTCATATCTATCTATCTATCTATCTATCTATCTATCTATCTATCTATCTATCTAAGCGTATTCATATCTATCTATCTATCTATCTATCTATCTATCTATCTATCTATCTATCTATCTATCTATCTATCTCAGCCTATTCGCATCTATCTATCTATCTATCTATCTATCTATCTATCTATCTATCTATCTATCTATCTATCTATCTGTGTGTGTGTGTGTGCGTCTCTTATTTGAATAATGATAAAAAGAAACTTAATATATCTGTATAGCCCATATAAGTATAATGGTTTTTTTTGTTTTGTTTTTTAATTCGTTTCTTCCTCTGACGGACTTATCACGTACATTTTCCCTGATAAAATCCATCAGAGGACGAAACGCTTTGGTAAACAAAAGTGACTGAAGCTGTGATGCTTGGTTAAGTCGTCTTCATTCATATTGACTGTTATTTATTTCTGAATCTTCACACACACACACACACACACACACACACACACACACACACACACATATATATATATATATATATAAAGAAAAAGAAGGAGGAAGCGGAAGATAGAAGTTAGAAGGAAAAGGAAAAGGTAGAAATATAAAAAGAAAACGGTTAAATGCTACAAAATGGCTAAGTAAGTAAATAAATAAAAATGAGTATCTTGAAAAAGCGAGAGTGGAATAAATACATAGCAAAATACGAAAATTGATCGTGGAATAGAGAGAGAGAGAGGAGAGAGGAGAGAGAGAGGGGAGAGAGATGGAGAGAGAGGGAGAGAGAGAAAGAGAGAGAGGGAGGGAGAGAAAGGGAAAGGGAAGGAGGGAGATAGAGGAAGGGAGAGAGGAGGCAGAGAGGGCGAGAGGGGGCCGTTAAAGCTAGCTACCTAGATGGATGAATAGACAGTGATCCCTTATAGTAAATGGAAGATAGATAGATAGATAGAAAGAAAGAAAGAAAGAAAGAAAGAGAGACGTTATAGTAAAAGGAAGATAGATAGATAGATAAATAGAGATCCCGAAAGAGAGATTACTTATATTAAAAGGGAGATAGCTAGAGAGATAGATACAGAGTGAGAAAGAAACTCGTTATGAAAGAGGGAGAGAGAAAATCGTTAAAATAAAGATAGATAGATAGAGAGACAGACAAAGAGTGAAAGAGAGACACCTGTGATATTAAAAAGATAGATAGATAGATACACAAACAGCGAGATTCGTTACATTAAAAGCTAGCTAGATAGTTAGATAGAGAGCGAGAAAGTAACTCGTTATAATAAAGATAGATAGATAGAGAGATAGAAATTTTTTAAAGATAGATAGATAGAGATATGAAATTGAGGGAGACTCATTATATTAAAAGATAGATAGATAGATTCCGCCATTAAAAGGAAGATAGATAGATAGATAGATAGATAGATGAAGATAGATAGATAGATAATATGATAGATAATAAAAACCTCTCTGAGATAGATAGATTATATTAATAGATAGATAGACAGATAGATAATGAACACTCTCTGATAGATAGATAGATAGATAGATAATAAAACACTCTCTGATAGATAGATAGATAGATAGATAGATAGACAGATAGATAGATAGATAATGAACACTCTCTGATAGATAGATAGATAGATAGATAGATAGATAGATAGATAGATAGATAGAGAAAGGAGGCGACGAAACGACTACTAAATACGAAAAGAGATCAAGAAAGAAAGTAAAAACGCATCCGGGGGAAAAACAGATGAGAGAGAGAAAGTAAACAATGCATAAGAAAAGAAGAAAACAAAGAAGAAGAAGAAAAAAAGAAAGAACTTTTCTTGTTGGCGAGGACGGTCTCAACTGGTGATCCATAAGCCATGATTTCCCTGGCGACCGTTGTTATTAACATTCCATCCTCTTCTGTCTGCCGATTGCACAAGATTAAGAATATCATATGTCGTTCGAGCAAATTATCCCTTCTTATTTAATCAACCCCGCTAAGGGGGGAAATTCATCATGTTCTGTTTACTAAGATTATCTAACACAAGAGCCGTGGTAATAATAGCAGGGCGCGTATGTTTGCAAAACGGTTTCTTCATGGACGCCGGCACACTGATATCGTTTAGTCTGGCATAAGGCCATAATAGGGATTAGGGAACACTCGTGGTATTAGCAAGAGCATGCGAGTGTAGCTTGCCGATCGTCGTTCTCTGATCGTCGTTCTAAATCAGGTATAGCTGACCATGTCCGCTGTAAGAATTTGGCGTACTAATATGTCAGTGTAGTTTAGTCTGCGAAAGAATGGATATTATGACAAAGACACTAAGGAATCAAACCCATAATATAAACAATTGCCTGTCTGAATGTGTTCATTATCCATCTATCTATCTATCTATCTATCTATCTATCTATCTATCTATCCATCAGAAAGTGTTCATTATCCATCCATCCATCCATCCATCCATCCATCATCCATCCATCCATCGATCCATCCATCCATTTATCTATCCATCAGAAAGTGTTCATCCATCATCTATCCATCCATCCATCCATCTATCCATCCATCCATCTATCCATCCATCAGGAGTCTGTTCATTATCCATCCATCCATCCATCCATCCATCCATCCATCAGAAAGTGTTCATTATCCATCCATCTATCCATCCATTTATCTATCCATCAGAAAGTTTCATCCATCCATCTATCCATCCATCCATCTATCCATCCATCCATCTATCAGAAAGTGTTCATTATCCATCTATCTATATATCCATCTATCCATCCATCCATCTATCCATCCATCTATCAGAAAGTGTTCATTATCCATCCATCTATTTATCCATTTATCCATCCATCCATCAGAAAGTGTTCATTATCCATCCATCCATCTATCCATCTATCCATCCATCCATCCATCTATCAGAAAGTGTTCATTATCCATCCATCCATCCATCTATCCATCCATCCATCTATCTATCTATCAGAAAGTGTTCATTATCCATCCATCCATCTATCCATCTATCCATCCATCCATCTATCCATCCATCAGAAGTGTTCATCATCCATCTATCTATCCATCCATCCATCCATCCATCCATCCATCCATCTATTTATCTATCCATCAGAAAGTTCATTATCCATCCATCCATCCATCCATCCATCCATCCATCCATCCATCCATCAGAGTCTGTCCATTTATCCATCCATCCATCCATCCATCCATCCATCCATCCATCCATCCATCCATCCATCAGAAAGCGTCCATCATCCATCCATCCATCCATCCATCCATCCATTTATCCATCCATCCATTTATCCATCCATCAGAGAGTGTTAATCCATCCATCCATCCATCCATCCATCCATCCATCCATCCATCCATCCATCAGAAAGCGTTCATTTTGTCCATCCATCCATCCATCCATCCATCCATCCATCCATCCATCCATCCATTTATCCATCCATCAGAAAGTGTCCATTCCATCCATCCATCCATCCATCCATCCATCCATCCATCCATCCATCCATCAGAAAGCGTTTCATTATCCATCCATCCATCCATCCATCCATCCATCCATCCATCCATCCATCCATCCATCCATCAGAAAGTGTTCATTATCCATCCATCCATTTATCCATTTATCCATCCATCCATCCATCCATCCATCAGAAAGTGTTCATTATCCATCCATCCATCCATCCATCCATCCATCCATCCATCTATCCATCCATCAGAAAGCGTTCATTATCTATCCATCCATCCATCCATCCATCCATCCATCCATCCATCTATCAGAAAGTGTCCATTTCCATCCATCCATCCATCCATCCATCCATCCATCCATCTATCCATCCATCCATCAGAAAGCATCCACCATTGTCATCCATCCATCCATCCATCCATCCATCCATCCATCCATCCATCAGAGTCTGTTCATTATCCATCCATCTATCCATCCATCCATCAGAAAGCGTTCATTATCCATCCATCCATCCATCCATCCATCCATCCATCCATCCATTTATCCATCCATCTATTTATCCATCTATCAGAGCGTTCATTATCCATCTATCCATCTATCTATCCATCTATCCATCTATCCATCCATCTATCCATCAGAAAAGTATTCATTATCTATCTATCTATCTATCCATCTATCCATCCATCCATCTATCTATCAGAAAGTGTTCATATATCCATCCATCTATCTATCTATTTATCCATCTATCTATTTATCTATCTATCAGAAAGTGTTCATATCCATCTATCTATCTATCTATCTATCCATCCATCCATCCATCTATCTATTTATCTATCTATCCCATTCATCATTTATCTATCCATCTATCTATCTATCTATCCATCTATCTATCTATCCATCAGAAAGTGTTTCATTATCCATCTATCTATTTATCTATCCATCTATCTATCCATCCATCCATCTATCCATCTATCCATCAGAAAGTGTCCATTCATCCATCCATCCATCCATCCATCCATCCATCCATCCATCAGAGTGTTCCCCATCTATCCATCCATCCATCCATCTATCCATCTATCTATCAGAAAGTGTTCATCATCCATCCATCCATCCATCCATCCATCCATCCATCCATCCATCCATTTATCCATCCATCTATCTATCCATCCATCCATGTTCATTATCCATCCATCCATCCATCCATCCATCCATCCATCCATCCATCCATCCATCAGAAAGTGTTCATTATCCATCCATCCATCCATCCATCCATCCATCCATTTATCCATCCATCCATCCATCTATCCATCCATCCATCATTATCCATCCATCCATCCATCCATCCATCCATCCATCCATCCATCCATCCATCCATCCATCAGAAAGTGTTCATTATCCATCTATCCATCCATCCATCCATCCATCCATCTATCCATCCATCCATCCATCAGAGAGTGTTCATTATCCATCCATCCATCCATCCATCCATCCATCCATCTATCAGAGAGTGTTCATTATCCATCCATCCATCCATCAGAAAGTGTTCATTATCCATCCATCCATCCATCCATCCATCCATCCATCCATCCATCCATCAGAGAGTCCATTATCCATCCATCCATCTATCAGAAAGTGTTTCATTATCCATCCATCCATCCATCCATCCATCCATCTATCCATCCATCCATCCATCCATCCATCTATCCATCCATCCATCCATCCATCCATCCATCCATCCATCCATCCAAAGTGTTCATTATCCATCCATCCATCCATCCATCCATCCATCCATCCATCCATCAGATCCATCCATCATCTGTCATCCATCCATCCATCCATCCATCCATCCATCCATCCATCCATCCATCCATCTATCAGAGCGTCCATCATCCATCCATCCATCCATCCATCCATCCATCCATCCATCCATCCATCTATCCATCCATCCATCCATCCATCCATCAGAATTGTCCATCTATCCATCCATCTATCTATCTATCCATCCATCCATCCATCCATCCATCCATCAGAAAGTGTTCCATTATCCATCCATCCATCCATCTATCCATCCATCTATCCATCCATCCATCTATTTATCCATCCATCCATTTATCCATCCATCAGAAAGTGTTCATTATCCATCCATCCATCCATCCATCCATCCATCCATCTATTTATCCATCCATCAGAAAGTGTTCATTATCCATCCATCCATCCATCCATTTATCCATCCATCCATCCATATCCATCCATCAGAAAGTTTCATTATCCATCCATCCATCCATCCATCCATCCATCCATCCATTTATCCATCCATCCCCAGCATATCCATCCATCCATCCATCCATCCATCCATCCATCCATCCATCCATCTATCAGAAGTGTTCATTATCCATCCATCCATCCATCCATCCATCCCCATCCATCCATCAGAGATGCATCACATCCATCCATCCATCCATCCATCCATCCATCCATCCATCCATCCATCCATCCATCCATCCATCCATCAGAAAGTGTTATCATTATCCATCCATCCATCTATCCATCCATCCATCCATCCATCTATCTATCCATCCATCCATCATCCATCCATCCATCCATCCATCCATCCATCCATCCATCCATCCATCCATCATCCATCCATCCATCCATCCATCCATCAGAAAGTCCATCCATCCATCCATCCATCCATCCATCCATCCATCCATCCATCCATCCATCCATCCATCCATCCATCAGAGCGTTCATATCCATCCATCCATCCATCCATCCATCCATCCATCCATCCATCCATCCATTTATCCATCCATCAGAGAGTCCATCCATCCATCCATCCATCCATCCATCCATCCATCCATCCATCCATCCATCCATCAGAGAGCGTCCATTCCATCCATCCATCCATCCATCCATCCATCCATCCATCCATCCATCCATCAGAGAGTGTTCATTATCCATCCATCCATCCATCAGAAAGTGTTCATTATCCATCCATCCATCCATCCATCCATCCATCCATCCATCCATCCATCCATCAGAGAGTCCATCATCCATCCATCCATCCATCAGAAAGTCCATCCATCCATCCATCCATCCATCCATCCATCCATCCATCCATCCATCCATCCATCAGAAAGTGTTCATTTTTCCATCCATCCATCCATCCATCCATCCATCCATCCATCCATCCATCCATCCATCCATCCATTTATCCATCCATCAGAAAGTCCATTATCCATCCATCCATCCATCCATCCATCCATCCATCCATCCATCTATCTATCCATCCATCAGAGCGTTCATCATCCATCCATCCATCCATCCATCCATCCATCCATCCATCCATCAGAAAGCGTTCATTTATCCATCCATCCATCCATCCATTTATCCATCCATCCATTTATCCATCCATCAGAAAGTGTTCATTATCCATCCATCCATCCATCCATCCATCCATCCATCCATCCATCCATCTATTTATCCATCCATCCCAGCATATTCATCATCCATCCATCCATCCATCCATCCATCCATCCATCCATCCATCCATCCATCCATCCATCCATCCATCAGAAAGTGTCCATCCATCCATCCATTTATCCATCCATCCATCCATCCATCCATCCATCCATCCATCCATCCATCCATCCATCCATCAGAGTGTTCATTATCCATCCATCCATCCATCCATCCATCCATCCATCCATCCATCAGAGAGCGTTCATTATCCATCCATCCATCCATCCATCCATCCATCCA